TAGAGTTGCCCTGAGTATAGGGTTGTGTCCCAGACCATCTTAGTTAATAGCCATTGATGGACCTATTCTCCATTAACGTATCTAGTTCATTTTTTTAACCCAGTTATACTGTTGGCCTTTACAACATCCCAGGGCAAAGATTTCCACAGGTTAATGGCGTGTTGTGTGACAAAGTATTTTCTCTTGTTTGTATTAAACCTACTGCCTATTAATTTCATTGGGACACACACACACACACGTTTTTGGATTGTGGGAAAGGGTAAATAACACTTCTCTATTCACTTGCTGTACACTCTTCATGATTTTTATAGACCTATAGCATACCTCCCTCCCCTTATATTTTATTTTTAAGCTGTCATCATATGGAAGCCATTCCATACCCCTGATCATCCTTGTTGCCCTTTTCTGAACCTTTCCCAGTTTCACTATGTCTTTTTGGGATGCGGCAACCAGAACTAGACTCCATATTCAAGGTATGAGCATACCATGGATTTATAGACTAGTATCATATTTTGTCTTGTTTTCCATCCCTTTCCTAATAGTTCTTAACATACCTTCAGCCTTTTTGACTGCTATTGTGCACTGAGTGAAAGTTTTCAGAAAACTTTCCAGTGACTCCAAGATCTCTTTCCTGAGTGGTAACAGTCAGTGATGAGCTGCCAAAATCTTAACCGGTTCCCTCCTCACCCCACGAGGGGGTCGTGGCCTGCCTCCCCCCCCGGGACTCCTGCCCCATCCAACCCCCTCCCCTGTCCTCTGACTGCCCCCAGAACCAGGCAGGAGGGTCTTGTGGGCCACCGTAGTGGGTGCCCACTGTGCCCCGCCCTTAAGAACCAGAGGGACCTGCCAAGGGGTGAGGTGGGGAGTCCTGGTGGTGCTTACCTGGGGTGGCTCCCAGGAATCATCCGGCAGGTCCCTCTGGCTCCTAGGGGCAGGGTAGCGAAGCTAGGGGGGGAGGAGTGGGAGCGGCCTCTCCCCTCACGAATCACATCAAAAGTGGCGCCTTAGGCACCGACTCCATGGGTGCTCCAGGCTTGGCACACCCACGGGGAAAATTTGGTGGGTGCGGAGCAGCTCCCTCCCCGTGCCCAGCCCCAGTTCACCTCCGCTCCGCCTCCACCCCTGAACACACCGCCCCGCTCTGCGTCTCCGTCCCCCCGGCTTCCCACGAATCAGCCTGGGAGGGCTGAGAAGCAGGCAGCGGCTTCATGCTCAGGCCCAGGGAGGTGGAGGTGAGCTGGGGTGGGGAGCAGTTCCCCTGCACCCCCCACCCCCGGGTTACCTGCTGCGGCACGGGCAGCCCTCCTTGCACCCCCTGCCACCCCAGCTCACCTCCGCTCTGCCTCCTCCTCCCTGGGCCTGAGCGCGAAGCCGCCACCTGATTCTCAGCCCTCCCCAGCGTCCCGCGTGAACAGCTCATTCGCGGGAAGCCAGGGCAGGGGGAGGGGGCGGAGAAGCAGAGTGGGGCGGCTTCAGGGGAGGAGGTGGAGGCGGAGCGGAGGTGAGCTGGGGCCGGGCGAGGAGCTGCCGGTGGATGCTCTGAACCCACCAAATTTTCCCCGTAGGTGCTCCAGCCCCGGAGCATCCACGGAGGTGGCGCCTAAGGCGCCACTTTTGGCCGGTTGTTAAATGTAGAAGCCCTTTTAGAACCGGTTGTCCCCAGCCAGTTCTAAAAGGGCTTCTACATTTAACAGTCGGTTCCAGCGAACCGGTGTGAACCAGCTCCAGCTCACCACTGGTAACAGCTAATTTGGAACCCATCACTGTATATGTATAATTGGAATTATTTTTGGCAGGGTGCATTACTTTAAACTTAATATTTAATTTCATTGCCATTTTGTTGCCTTGTCTCCCTGTTTAATGAGTGCTCTTTGTAACGCTTTGAAGTCTGCTTTAGACTTTACTATGTTGAACTTGTATTGTATGCCAACTTTGCCACTTCACTGTTCATCCCCTTTTCCAGATCATTACTGGGACCAGTACTGTTCAACATTTAGAACAGATCCTTGGTGGACTCCACTATTTACTTCTCTCCACTATGAAAACCAACCATTTATTCCTACTCTTTTTACCAGTTACTGAACCAAAAGAGAACCTTCCCTCTTATCCCATGATTTAAGAACCTTTGGTGAGGTACCTTGTGAAAGGCTTTCTGAAAATCCAAGGTCATTTTATCGAGTGGATCACCTTATGTACATGCTTGTTGACTCTCTCAAAGAATTCTTATAGAAAATAATCCCTCCCCACTTACAAAAGCCATGTTGACTCTTCCCCAATAAATCATATTGATCTATGTGTCTGATAATTCTGTTCTTTACTATAGTTTCTACAAATCTGCCCCGTACTAAAGTTAGGCTCACTGGCCTATAATTACTAGGATAACCCTGGAGCCCTTTTTAAAGCTCTGCATCAGCTAGCTACCCTCCAGTCACCTAGCACAGAGACTTATTTCAGTGATAGGTTATATACTACAGCATACAATATACTACTATGCTATATACTACAGTAAGTCATTTGGTCCTGGTGACTTAATACTGTTTAGTAATTTTTTTCTAAAAACCTTTTCTAGTGAGATCCATTTGGGGAAAATACTTCAGATTAGTTGCCCAAAAGGAATGACTCTGATGTGGGTTTCTTCCCCCACATGCTCTGCAGTGAAGACTGATGCAAAGAATTCATTTAGCTTCTCTGCAATGACCTTGTCTTCCCTGAATGCTCCTCTAAACACCTTTGTCATCTAGTGGCCTCATTGCCAGTTTGGCAGGCTTCTTGCTTCTGATGTACTTAAAAAAATGTAATTAGCTTGTGTGTCTTCTGCTTGTTACTCTTGAAGTTCTTTTTTTGCCTGCCCAATTATACTTTTACACTTGACATACCACAGTTTATGCTCATGTCTGTTTTCCTCGGAAGGATTTGACTTCAAATTTTAAAGGATGCCTTTTTGCCTCTAACAGCATCTATTACTCTGCTAATTAGCCATGGTGGCAGTCTTTTTTATTTGGAGTATACATTTAGTCTGAGCCTCTATTATGGTCTTTTTAAATAGTCCCCATGGTGTTTGCAGACATTTTACCCTTGTGACTTCTCGTTATAAATTTCCATTTAATTAGCATCCTCATTGTTGTGTAGTTCCTCTTTTAAAAAGTTAAATATTAACATGGTGGGTTTTTCTGGTATTCTCCCGTGCCACGTACGCTAACATTAACTATATTGTGATCACTATTACCAGGCAGTTCAGCTATAGTTGCTTCTTGGACCACATCTTGTGCTCCACTTAGGACTAGATCAAGAATCGCCTCTTGTGGGTTCCAGGACTAGCTGCTCCAAGAAGCAGTTATTTATGGGGGTCTAAAAATTTTATCTCTGCATCACACCGTGATGTGACATGTACTTAGTCAATATGAGGATAGTTGAAACCCCCAATTATCATTGTGTTTTCTGGTTTTGTAGCCTCTATAATGTCCCTGAGCGTTTCACAGCCACCATCCTGGCCAGGGTGGTTAGTTATATATTCCTACTATTATACTCATTGCTCACGTATGAAATTTCTATTCATAGAGAGTCTGTGGTACAGTTTGAGTCACTGAAGATTTTCACCTTATTTGACTATATTTTCTTCCACACAAAGTGCCATTCCCCCACCAGCATGACCTAGTCTATCATTCCTATATATATTTGTACTCTACTGTTACCATGCCCTATTAAGTATGCTTATTTCACCAAGTTTCCAGGATGCCTCATTTAATGCCAGGCATTCTAGTTCACCCATCTTAGTATTTAGACTTCTTGTATTTGTATATAAGCACTTGAACATTGTCAATATTTAGTTAATCTACATAATAAGACAGTACCTAGTTCTCATCTCTTTATTATGAGAGATTTCCCTCCCCCTTTAGAGACAGAGTTATAAAACTAGAGTGCTACAAGGCCAAATCTTGGTTTTATCTCATGATTCATCAGTTTTTTGGCCCTAATGCTAAGAGCTCTTGTTTTCTAGACATAAATTATAATATATTAAAGTGAAAAATGCATGCTAAAACCATGACTATTATAGAACATCAACAGTCTAAGCATGTGTAACGGAGAACACTCACCTCTGGAGTGCGTCTTGCTGCTACATGCAGTTCTTCAGTCCTTTTCCCACTCCTAGACCCCCTATAGGTTTTCAGCCTTGCTTGGCAGGTCATCAACAGGTCAGCCCTCCAGCTGGGTCATACAATCAAAGTGAAGCTGTCCCAAGGTAGCAAAGTCCAACAAAACTGTCTATCTCCCTTTACCAGTATCTTCAGCCCCAACTCCAGGCCCTCTAAATTCAGCTTTTTGCTCAGGCTTCTAAGAGCCTTGTTCCCTTCTCAGGTTTACACCACATTGCTGGTAACCAGTGGGGGAACCTGGACCCACCCATTACCCCAGGTTCTAACCCAGGGACCCTATAAACAGCAGCTATGTACCTCTCAATTCAATTCATTGCTGCTACTTCCCTGGACCTCTTCCCACCTGGCCCCTTAATCTTCACCCCTGACTTCGGGGTTAAAGTTCTCAGGTCCTCTCTCCCCCAGCATAAGCAAATGCAGCCAGAACTAAATGCTAGTTCTCTTTTAAGCTCCCTTGAGCAGAGATAAACACCCTGTCTTGTCCCTCTGGTCCCAGTCAGAATCTGACCTGCTAAGGCTCTGCAGCTCCTTGTTTCTGAGCCTGCTGGACTCTGATTAGCTGCTTCCATCCAGCCTCTCTAGGCAGGCCTGGAGAACCCATCTTCACTACTTCTTTCCTGGGACAGGAGTGTAGTAAGACCCACAGGGCCTCCTGTAAGGAGCCATAAAGATCAGGTATATCCCATCACTGCATACTGTTTTTCTCCCATTTCCCTTGGTAGTTTTATTTTTGTTAGTTTCCAAGCAGTCTTGCTTTCTAGCTTTTGCTAGCTTTTATAGCACTCACCTGGGCTAACTTATTCCTTCTTATTACCCAATCAAGTTTTCAAATTCATTACTCAGACATCAGGTTGAATATATTTTTTACTTATAACTGCTGACACTTTTGAGAACAAAGCAAGCTGCAAAATCTTTAAAAAAAAACCTACAATTGGCTGAAACAAACTGTCCAATAAATCTTTAAAAGTTACACTTTGCAAAACAAAACAACATAGCAAGGGCAGATCACTCCCTCATCCAGGCACAGATTATTTGTTATATAATTCAAATACAAAAGCCCAATGTATTAGTCATTTTGAGTGCATTTTTCTCAGAGTCAAAGGTTCACATAACATTTTAGTACTCGGTTTAATTGTTTACATTTATTATAGAAGGTATTTTCTGGACACTTCGGTTGACACTAAGAACCAAATCAGAATGCTCATTATAAACTGCTTTTAAAGTATTATAGATAAAACTGATAGACTGAACATGTCTGTTCTTTGAAAAGAATTGATCTCCTTGTTGTTAAGCAGAAAGAAAATGAATATTATTTTTAAATCTAATAGGTATGAGAAAAGTATTGAAGTTAGTACTATAAGTGCATTTCCCCAAGTTTGCTCAAGCATTCCCTTTATAAAAAGAAAAACAGAAAAAGCAGTAGCATGGAACATTATATTTCAGATTCACTGCTCTGTGATTTCAATAAGGGGTGGGCAAACTTGAACAAAAATATGGAATGCCATATTCCAACTTTCACTTTCATCCATTCAACATTAAAATGAAACTTTTCATTAAATTTTGAAAAATTTTCTGATATGGATTCCAGAGGAAGGAGATAATTCTTAGCTTTTATATAGCACTTAACTTCCATAGATCTCTGTGATTTACAAAGAAGGAAAAATAATCATCATTTTCACTGGGGAAACAGAGGCACGGAAGGTGAAGTGACCTGTCCAAAGTCACGCAGGTCAGTTACAGATCAAGAATTGAACCCATGCCTTCTTATTCCTAGTCCAAGGCCCTTCCACTGCACAGCACTACTTTCCAGATGAAGGAAGCCCCACGTCTTCTCTTCCGCTACACATCAGTCTTCTTCTCCCAATATTTTACAAGGCTTTTTGGGGAAAGTAGGGAAAAGTCAAACAGCTTGTGATTCCTTTCTGGGGACTTCAGGGTGCTGCTGGTAGTCATTTTCTATCAGAGATCTGGCAGGGCGCTCCCTTCTGGCAACCCACCAGACTGCTCTGAGGGGAATTCAAGCCTCTGTGTCCCTGGATTCCCAGCTCTTTTAAGTTTCTCAAGCCTGAACAAAGTCCAGTTACTTCCCAGCAGGACAGAGGGGTGGGAGGAGGTATTGTTTCATATTCTCTGTGTGTATATAAAGTCTGCTGCAGTTTCCACGGTATGCATCTGATGAAGTGAGCTGTAGCTCACGAAAGCTCATGCTCAAATAAATTGGTTAGTCTCTAAGGTGCCACAAGTACTCCTTTTCTTTTTCCCCAATCTTGGGCTCCCTAAGCACAGAGTGCAGACCTGCGGTCTTACACTCCCTTCCGAGCTGGAACCCACTGTCCAGCTCCTATCCCCACTGGGCACAGGGCTGACCCTTCAGTCTCCCCCACAGTTAAAACATACCCTTCCCAGATCTCCACCCGAAAGGTGTGAAGCTTCTGGGGTACAATTTAACTTTCTTTGCATGCAGTAGTTGTGAAGTGTTTGAGACACTTTGCCCACAGTTTAACACCTTAATGCTCTTTAACTTAACCACGTAAAGCACAGGAGAGTACAGATCATATAAAACAACAAATATCTTAACTGCAATGCCACTTTCTAGATCACCCTTCCCTTGGGAGTCCTAAGGCATCATCAGTGTCCCCTGCCTCATGCAGGCTATTGCATGCTGAGTTGTCTCTTTCTCATGGAGTCCCTTTCCCAGCTTGTGTGACCTTGCTTTCTCCTGCCTCACGCTTCCTGTTTCGGTCTGGCTCCCTCTGTTTCTGTGGGTATGTCTGCGCAGCCCAAAGAAGCAAGCATCCCAACCTAGGCCAAAAGACTCAGGTTAGCAGGGCTCATGCCAGCACTGTAAAAAGCAGCTGTATAGACAATGCTTTGAAGCTGGGGTTCACTAGTAGTTAAATCATCTATACTTCTGTGTAATTAATACAGGAATTCTCACGTACTGAGATACAATGGATGCAGTTAACTTTTGTGTTTTGTTGTACCTTGTCAGTACCAAGTAACATGTTACCAGTTTGAACAGGTATCATTATACTTAGAATAGAGTATATTGTTAGAAAAGGTAATATCATACCTACTAGAAAAATCGTAAAGGAAGTTTGATTAACTGTTCCCATGCTGTGTGTGTCTGTTATCTATAGCAATTAGCACTGGTTCTAATGGCAACCTTTATAAGAATGATTCTGGAAACAAAAGGCTCCGCACAACATCAAGTATTTTGTACAATTGTCTCAGGCTATTTCAGACCTCACGGTCACACTCTGACTCTCGACTTTTTAATAACCGAGAAGCACTTCTTGACAATCCAAAAATGCTTTTTTCTCTTAGCAGTGACCAGACCCTACCCCAATTCAAACTTTAAAAAATGCTCAAATGGGAGAAAGGGTCTCTTATGTTTCCCAGTAGTAGAATTAAGTTTACAGTAGTGAGGCTTTGAACAGTTGTGACAGTTACTGAGCAATGCACCTTCTTCCCAGGCTGGAAGGATGCTGCAGAACACTTTACTGTGTACTTGGAATGCCCTTCCCCTTCCTCCCTTCAAATCCCACTCAAATCCCTTCTGCTGCTACATGTATAAGAAATTGGCAAATTAACAGCTGATAGCTTGGTGCTGCCGCAGTATTTCATTTGTTTATTTTTACAACAGTCAGATGTTTGGAACTATCAACCTGTGTAACAGTGGATCAGTGTATCCATGTGACTTTACTGCTGTTACTCTCATCCTTCTTCCTCCCACAGACATCTTCTTTCATTGTTTGTTACACTCACATGATGTATCTTGTCTTAAATTAGGCCCTGATCATGCAAAGACTTACACATGTGATTAACTTTACGCACTCTGAGTAGTTCCTTTGACTTCAGTGGGACTACTCAGTTCACAAATTTAATTATATGGCACTGGGGCCTTAGACTTGTGATGGGGCAAGGCCAGATGGGGCTATAGAAAAGTAGTGGGAGATAGATATATTAGCTCCAGGCTAAACAAATCCCTGGTACCAGGTTAAGTGAAATGGCAGCTGCTCCAGGTCAATTAAGACACCTGGGGCCAATTAAGAACTTTTCAGAAGGCAGGGAGAATGCTAGGTTGATTGGGACACCTGAAGCCAATCAGGGGCTGGCTGAAACTAGTTAAAAGCCTCCCAGCCAGCCAGTCAGGTGGGTGTGCATGTCAGGAGCTGTAGAAGGAAGTTGTGCTGTTGGAGAGACTGAGTAGTACACACCATATCAGGCACAAGGAAGGAGGCTCTGAGCTGAGGGTGAAGTGGAGCTTGAGGAAGTGAGGGCTGCTGTGGGGGAAGTAGCTCAGGGAATTGTACATATCATGTTTCTAAAAGGTCAGCTACCATAGCTGATACTATTAGGGTCCCTGGGCTGGAGCCTGGAGTAGAGGGTGGGCCCAGGCTCCCCCCTCACCTTTGCCCCCTGATTAATCACTGAGACTGGGAGACAACAGAGACGTGCAAGGAAGGATAATTTCTCCTCACCTCCCTTGCTGGCTTATGATGAAAATGGCTCAGCAGACTGTGACCCTTGTCTCTAGAGAAAGAAGGGTTACGTGGAGGGTCACAGTGAGCCTCTGAGGCTAGCAAAATCCGCCAAGAAACACGGGACCCATGGAGGCAAGGACAGAGCTTTGTCACAGACTGTACATTTATGAAGAAGGGGCTCTTTCTTACAAGATCATTTTTACAGCACCATAGGTCTCTAATTCTTGTTGTGGTCTTTGAGCACAACTGTTACATTAATAATAATTAGATCCTGCTAATTGGTGACCAATCACAATCTAGACAGGCTGGGAGGATGCCATGAGATCATTCCCGAGAGGTTTTTATTTAAAAAACTTCCTTCAGGAGCAGATTTATGAGGCTTATATTGGCCAGACCTTGGGCTTTTTTTTCTGCTGGACAAGTTGGAGATGTGGGATGGAAACATTAAACAAATTTCTGCCAAAATGTGTTTACATTTCCAAAAATATGCATAGAAAACTGTTTAATTTCCCCCTACTCTCCTTCTTCAGACTGTAAGCATAATCTTATACTGAGAGCTGAAATGTACATTGAAGAAGTCCACTGAAGAAAGACTGGGCCACGATATGCTCCAAACTACAACATTATTTCACAATATCATATCAAGTTGCAGTGGGGGAGGTTTAGATTGGATATTAGGAAAAACTTTTTCACTAAGAGGGTGGTGAAACACTGGAATGCGTTACCTAGGGAGGTGGTAGAATCTCCTTCCTTAGAGGTTTTTAAGGTCAGGCTTGACAAAGCCCTGGCTGGGATGATTTAACTGGGAATTGGTCCTGCTTCGAGCAGGGGGTTGGACTAGATGACCTTCTGGGGTCCCTTCCAACCCTGATATTCTATGATTCTATGTTGGCTCACTGCAAGTCCCAAGAGTGGCCATACAACATGTGCCCCACTGGACATGTTTCCATTGATGGACTATCCTTCCTGAAGAACCCACACTGAAAAGAGTATTTGCCAGAAGGTGTCACTGTACAGAAACTGTAACTATTGCACAATTAAAAGGTTACAGTGTGTGGGTAATCACTCTGGGGAGGTGGGTTGGGAGAGGCAAAATTACAGATGTTCAAAGGGAATAGAAAATGTTAACACAGAATAACAATTATAGAATAAGAACAAAGAATGAGAAAAAATAACCTCCCTACCAATTGAGTTTACAGGGAATATATATTTCTGCCTGTATGCATTCTGCCAGGAGAATTGGTGCTAGCTTTAGATTGCTGCAACTCACACACAGGCAGTCTACAGCCCAGTCAGAGGTGCTGGATGATTAATTTCTCCTGAAGGAAAGAAATTTTGGCTTAAATGGTGAGAAGAAGAAAACTTCTATTAAAGCCTCCAAAAGAAAAGGATATTTCATATCTCACATATGTTAGCGCAAGTGTATTTTTTTCCTAGACAAGATCAGACCTAGGAAAAGATTGTGCTGAGTAGGAGTGAGATGGGGGAAGAAGAACATAGACCATGTGGAACTCAGGGCAACATTTGGCCCTTTGTTTCTAAAAACTGCCTAGTCTTGGCTTGCCTGCTGGTGACAGTCTGTTTCTTAGTGGGACAGTGCTCATATTTACAGCCCTTATTTTCACCTGCCAAACAGCACAGACAGCCTCATTTGTGAGCGCCTGCCCACTAGACAGCATAAGCAGAGACACAGGGAGAGCAATGGCACTGCGCAGGTGCTGAAAATCACAGTGAAAAGCAGAGTGGGAAGTAGCCATTAAGGACAGCTGCTCCCACTTATACCTGCTCAGCCATAGAGCCTCTCAGCCACTCAGGGGCTGCCAGCTCAGAGCACCTGGCTCTTTGAATAGCAAATTCATCTTCCTTTAGTTTGCTCAACACAGTATTTTGACACAACAAAACCCAGCTGCTGTCGCCATCAATATCATATGCAGTTTATGTTCTATATAATTTTGAGCATGTACAACTATGTATTTATTTTGGTTTTGGTGTGATACATGCACAAAACTTTGCAGTTTATTTATTCCTTCTGATGTGTTTAATAACACCTATCACAAGCTCTAGGCACGCTCACAGGTTTAAAAAAAACACAGACCAATTAATACAAGAATATAGTGCTAGATGACAAAAAAAGAACTCCTGAAAGAAGCCAATACTTAAGAAAATACTCCAACCCCTCCTCCTAGACTCTGCTGTTGCAACCCAGCTATTTGGGCTCTGTCCCCAAGCCTGTATAAATAGATGGGCTTTGCAGCACATTCTGAACCTTCGACCAAGGAAGGAGTAAAATCCAAAGGGAGGGAGTCCTCACAGAAAACACCCTGCCAGCAGCTTCCTCAGCCCAGGATCAACAACATTGGCACCACATCCTGAGCTGGAATAAATTGTCATAGCTCCCTTGAAATCCAATGGGAGTTAGACACCTAAATACCTTTGAGGATCTGGGCCTATGCCCCTTAGAATGTTTTTTCTATATCTATTGTTCACTTTGTCTTAGGACTCAGGAGTCTATGGAAAAGATGTCTTGCTCTATGTCTTGCTACGCATTAGCTGAATTTATCAGACTAGAAACCACATACTGAGGTAATTCATAATTAAGACACGTATAATTATTTTGTTTAAATGAGCCCCCAAAACGGACGAGATTAGCTGATACACTTCAGTTGTCACTTCTAAATGTACAGGACAAGAGGATCATTTCCGCTCCCATTAAAGCAAAAATTGTATTGACTTCATTAGGAGCAGGATTGGACCCTTAACTTTTAAATCCACCTTTGTTGATAGATAATTTTATTGGTGGATTTTTTCAGATTTTATCATGAAGTGTCATTCCACTTTTATTCCTTATAAGATTTATGACACCTATATCCATGAAATAAATTCAGCCAACTGCCTATCATTTTTCATTTGTAGCTGAATAAAATAATACATCTAGTGCTAAAATACTCAGTTTCTCTACAAAATGTGTTTAAAACTGTTCTAAACTGGGATAAAATGCCAGTTTTGGATGTGATAAGAAAATGCAAAGAAAACTGTATTTCAAGTTGAAATTAACACTTGGCAAAATACTACACAGTGAAGTTCTTCTATAACATTGTATAAAGAGCTATAGAAGATAAACAGCTGCCTTTATATGACTTGCCTTAATTTATAACCATTGCATTATGAAAACCTCTAAAAGAAAATCCATCACTGGAACAATTGAACAGTATGCATAACCATAATAAAAAACCTGCAGAGTATTAATTATACTGCTTTTCATATCCCGCTGTCTTCTGAATAGCCAGAAGTTATACTTCTCCATATTTGACTGTACAAAGATTAGTCAAGATTTATAGCAGAAGAATGTTAAGGCTGAGAATCAAACCAATTTTGTTTATATACTAAGATGTAGAAGTCACCATACTATAAGAGTCTGAAAGTTTCCATTTGTGGATTAAAGAATCATAAGGATGCTTACTGGGGGGGCTACAGAGAATACTGAATAATAGCTGTTCTCATGGCCAGTAGGCTATGCATCAGCCATGCATCTATATCAACAGACTATGCAGAAATAACTTTTTAACGGCAAGACAGCTGAGGCAAAAATCATGTTATTTTATCAATGCATATGGATCAATATAATGAAAATTTTCATTGGATTTTCTGCCATCTGAGATATCATAGGAAATCTACTGAAAAAAACAGTCATTGAGGCAAAAATTTTCAAAAGTGTCCACTAATTTGAAGTTACTCAAGTTTTGGGTGCCTAACTTGAATAATTTAAGGCCCTATTTTCAGAGATGCTGAGCACCCACAGCACTAACTGGCTTCAAGGGAAGTCAAAAATTGAGACACTCAAAATGAGTAGACACACTGAAAAAATTAGATCCCGCTCACAAGACCTCACAATTCAAAGGGCACACTGTACTGCAGAAAATGACTCAAGAAAGTACTGCAACTGAGTACACCAAACTCCTGTCTGGTTCGCTAAATAATCCAGAGTTATAAGGATAGTCATTTCTGAAGTGTCATAAAAAGAGAGAGAGATCAAAAATTGTTCTACAGAAAAGGCTGCAATTGAATTATGACAGGTTTCAGAGTAGCAGCCATGTTAGTCTGTATTTGCAAAAAGAAAAGGAGTACCTGTGGCACCTTAGAGACTAACCAATTTATTTGAGCATAAGCTTTCGTGAGCTACAGCTCACTTCATCGGATATCCGATGAAGTGAGCTGTAGCTCACGAAAGCTTATGCTCAAATAAATTGGTTAGTCTCTAAGGTGCCACTAGTACTCCTTTTCTTTTAATTGAATTATAACTTCACAAAAGAGGCAATCTGTCTGATTATAGAGATACTTGCACTCCACAACCTCGGTACAAAGGGCATTTCCCCTCCACACTTTAATACTATCAGGTCTGTTATTTCAGCCAAGCTGGTGACTGAACTTCTCTTCTATTCAGATTTATTTTGCATCTCTGCAGCAGTAAAAATGAGAAGTAAAACCTGAAAGAGTGGACTTAGTGTGCACATCAACTGTTCACATCACTGTAAGCACAGTCCCAAATTATTCATGCTGCATAGGTAAACCTACCCTCTATGTAAGACTGTTACTGCTGCTTTGCCGCTTTATAAGATGACATTTGATAAACGTAGCATTGTTGCTGCTTGTATCCCATTTAGGCCTGTCAGTTCTGAAAGAGAATGAGTCATCCATGTGAAGAATAAGGCAGTGCCTGCAGAATGAGTAAAGGAGCACCAAATTGCTCACAAGAAGGTGTGTTGATCCATTTTCAAATATAGAATGTCACATTCTTCTCTTAGACTGCAAAAAAGAAAAAAGAAAGCAAACATTACTTTAAATGTACATAAAAGAAAAACACAAATTAATACAAAAGCACTTGAGAAGGCAGTGTAGGAAGTACACGTATAATGATACAGGGAAGGACAACATGACCTAATATTTTCCTTTCTAATTCAAATTTATATGATACTAGAAAATACGTAACAATAAGAGCAAGGGAGGTTATTTATTTGTCCTCCAAAAACCTATTAATGCAGTTATAGGGGAAGAAAAGTATTCATCATAAGATCCATGTGATTTCTGCCAAGATCCTGCATAAGTCTGTCTTTCATAATGAATAACATTGCTTCTGTAAGCATGTGCAGCCCTTATGTGATGTCAGCGGTGCACACTATCTGTCAGTGAGTGTGCCATAAATGCATGTCACGGCATACTTCAATAATAATACTCACAGTTTTGTTGTTAAGATTTTTAAGTAATTCTCAGGAAAATGCAAAGAAATTTGTGATGTGTTTTTTTTCCTTTTAGATTGTAGATATAACCCCCAATCTCATTCTCCCTGTTTCTCAGCAACATTAAAATTCAAAGGAGATAGGAGTCCCTTCCTGGCTGCCAGATGCATCCCTGTGGGGAAAAATTAAGAACAGCTACATGTATTTACCCCGGATAAATAGACAGGGCATTCACTCAGTTGACCAAAGTGTATTTTTGATTCACCATTAACAAGTGTAAATATAATCATACAAAAGGTATATCCTGTAACTAAAGAAATTCATGAAATTGGATACAGTGGCATATTAGCCACTGGGCCAATGGGGCTCATGCGCAGGGCCCCGGCCAATTGGGGGTGCCTCCAGAAAAATGGGCCCCCGCACCCAGACCTGCTCCTCCCCCTGGAGCTCCTGCTTGGAGCATGGGGGCTTGCCCCGCTCTGCCCGCCTGGCACTCCTGGGAAGTGGGGTTGGGGCACAGGGGCTTGGTTTCAATCAATACAATTCCTAAATATTCAATACAACCATGTCTCCTTCACACTACTCCATGGGATTCTTCACCCACCGATCATGTCTTCTTCAGATTCTGAACTCTTGAGCTCTTATTTTACATATGTTCGGTATCACATACAATGAGACCTTAGTCCTGACTGAGTGTTCTAGGTGCTACTATAATGAATACAGTAACAATTTGTATTTATATCAGTTACTCCTGTCCAACAAAAACTTTCTTTTCCCTTTATTGCTGACCTCCAAATTAACTTGCTGTGCTGGAATAATGCTCAGTGCATACATTCTTAATCTTTTTTAAAAGCTCCATTTCCTTTATATGATTTCCATTTTAATTTGAAAATGTGAGCTTCCATTATGTTTTGTTTCAACAGAATAATCCTTTTATACAAAATCATTCCTTTAAATGTCTTCCAATAAGCATATTTTATAACTTCAACATGCATAGACATTGCCAAAAAATATTAAATATAAACAGCATGTACAATACTCATAACTTTCAATTTTTTGTGTGGTTTCCCTCACTAATTAACATTTAACTCCATAGCTTAAGCAAAACATAATATGCACTCAGTAGAAACTATCCAATTTAACAGTTTAGATTTCTTTGGGTTCAAAGTTCTTGGCTTCCTTTTCAACATAATGGAAAGTTAATTTCTTTTCTACTCACAGATCCTTGGTATGGCCCCAGTTCCGGCTATGTCTACATTATGAGCTAAAGGGGTGTGATTCCACTACTTGTGTACACCCTACTCATACTAACTCTCATCAAGCTAGCACAAATATAAACAGCAGTGTAACCATGGTAGCATGGGTAGCAGCGACAGAGGCATGGCTGAGCCGTGTTGAGCACATACTCACAGGTTTCAGGGGGTTTCTACTCACACAGCCCAGCCATGCCTCCACTGCAGCTATCTGTCCTACCACAGCTACATTGCTATTTATACTCTTGCTAGATCAATGAAAGCTGGCACAAATATCTGTATGCAAGCAGGGGAATCACACCCCTATCATGTAGTGTAAATGTAGTTTCAGACAAGCACTTGATTAACATGTGACTTAGCACTTAGAAAGTAAGCATATGCTTAACATTCAGCAGGTGTTTAAGTGCTTTCCTGAATCAGGGCCACACTGAAAGGAAAGCTAAGAACTTTGAACTCAAAGAAAACTAAAGGGTGTTAAACTGGATTAAGCCTGGCTCTAATTACTTTGCTGTATCGGGGCCTATGGGGCTAATCCAAAGCCTATTCAAGTCAATAGGATGTTTCCATTGACTTCAATAGGCTTTGGACAAGGGCCAACAGAATTCAACTAAATAAAATGGTCACTCCATGTGAAGCCTTCTCCTGCCCCTTCCCGAACTTAATGACTTAGAAGTATCCATGAACTCCAAAAGTGCCACTTAAAACTTCCCATGAGTTACATGGAGTATATAACAAAACTGGGCTTTAGTAGCTCATGAAAAGGAGTCCGGGGTTATAGTGGATTACAAATTGTATATGAGTCAGCCTTGTGATGCAGTTGTGAAAAAGGTTAATATTCTGGGGTGTATTCACAGGAGTCATATGTAAAACACAGGAGATAAATGTCCTGCTCTACTTGGCAATGGTGAGGGGGAAACCTGATAACAGTCTTCCAGTATGTTAAGGGCTGTTATAAAGAAGAATGTGATCAATTGTTTTCTACGTCCACTGAAAGCAGGACAAGTAGTAATGGGCTTAACCTGCAGCCAGGGAGATTTAGGGCATGGCTACTCTGGGAAGTTTACAACCTTAAATTAGAACATTTTTCCTAATATCTAACTGCAAGGGTAGTTAAGCTCTGGAGTAAGCTTCCAAGAAAGGTGGTAGAATCCCCATCATTAGAGGTTTTTAAGAACTGACTGGACAAACACCTGTCAGAGATGGTCTAGGTTTACTTGGCCCTGCCTCAGTGCAGGGAGATGGACTCGATGACCTCGAGGTTCCTTCCAGCCCTTCATTTCTATGTTTCAGTGCTAAACAACTAATCAGAAAAGTTGTTTTAAAATGCTGTCTATTGTAATAACAAAGGGCCCTCTCCTCCATGAATGTGATCTCATTCAGTTAAAAGTCATCTTGATACCGGATACCTTCTTCCCTCCATTTTACTCTTTTATCAGTTTCATGCATGGAGAGAAGGAAGGTGATGAACACTCCATTCCATATATTGTTCTCTATTTAATGTAGAAAGTCCTTTTTTTTTTTCAAAAATGAATCCAGTTCAAACTGAAACTAATAATGACCTATCTAATTAATTATACATTAAAAAAAATCATGACAGCTTATGTGGACTCTGCCAACTGGGGGAATACTGCACTTAAGTAATACACTTGGTACTCATACCATATGTATTTGCTTGGCTGTCTATATCCATTTTCATCATGCTCTAGTTGATGAGACTGGTATCTTGACCTAGGTGCTACAAAAACATAATACTGCAAGTACTATCCCTTTACTTCCTCAGTGTCAGCACCGCTATAGTGGTGGCAGTCACAATGCCTCTTTTCGCTCCATTACATCTCTTCATACTCTAGTGAATTAATAAATAAGCCTGTGGCTTTCTCCTGACCTTCTCTTTGTATCTCGAATCATTGCTGATCATCCTAGAGAGAGAGATTGAAGAGTATATTATTGTAATTTCCTTCGTTGATAGGGTTAGTGGCCTAGTGAGGGGGGAAAGAGTAGACATGATATGCCTTGATTTCAGAAAGGTTTTTGATACAGTCCCACATGAAATTCTCATAAGCAAACTAGGGAAATGTGGTGTAGAGGAAATTACTATAAGGTCAGTGTACAACTGGCTGAAAGACTGTACTCAAAGAATAGTTATCAATGATTTGCTGTCAAATTGGGAGGATGTAGCTCGTAGGATCCTGCAGGGGTCAGTTCTGGTTCCAGTACTATTCAATATTTTCATTAATTCCTTGGATAATGGAGTAATGAGTATGCTTATAAAATTTGCAGATGACACCAAGCTGGGAAGAGTTGCAAGCCCTCTGGAGGGCAGGTTTAAAATTCAAAATGACCTTGACAAATTGGAGAATTGGTCTGAATTCAACATGTTGACATTCAATAAAAGACAAGTGCAAAGTACTTCACTTAGGAAGGAAAAATTAAATGAACATCTACAAAAGGGGAATAACTGCCTAGGTATTAGCATTGCTGGAAAGGATCTCGGGGTTATAGTGGACCAGAAATTGAATATGAGTCATCAATGTGATATAGCTGCAAAAAAGGGTAATATGATTCTGGGGTGCATTAACAGGAGGGTTGTACGTAAGACACATGAGGTAATTGTCCTGTTTCTACATGGCACTGATGAGGTCCCAACTGTGTCCAATTTTGAGTACCACAATTTAGGAAAGATGTGGAGAAACTGGAAAGAGTCCAGAGGAGAGCAACAAAAATGATGAAAGGGTTTAGAAAAACTGATCTACTGATCTGAAAGGTTTAAAAAAATGGCTATGTTTAGCCTTGAGAAAAGAAGACTGACGGGGGACTTCATAACAAGTCTTCCAATATGTTAAAGGCTGTTATAAAGAGATTGATGATCAATGGTTCTCCATGTCCACTGAAGTTAGGATAAGAAATAATGGGCTTAATCTGCAGCAAGGGAGATTTAGGTTAGATGTTAGGAAAACTTTCTAACTGTAAGGGTTAGAACAAATTCTGGAATAGGCTTCCAAGGGAGGTTGTGGAGTCCCTTTCATTGGAAGCTTTTAAAAACAAGTTTGACAAACACCTGTCAGGGATGGTCTAGGGTTGCTTAGTCCTGCCACAGTGCAGGAGGCTGGAATTGATGACTTCTTGAGGTCCCTTCCAGCTCTACCTTTCTATGATTCTGTATTATAAAACAAGTGCAAAGGGCATCAGCAACTCAGAGACCTCATTATTGTTCTTCTGAGAAAATACTGCTTCAATTAATTGCTGTGTTCTTCCCTGAGCCATCTTTCAGGTAAACCTCTGTGGACCTGAGAGAGAATTTTGCCAGATAGGGGAGGAGGAGCTGTTTCATAGGACACAGTGAGTACCTCCTTCATAAAGGAGCTAATGGCAAAGGAATATTTAGTTCAATCCCTCAGAAAGGGAAGGAGAATTTCTAAAGTGTCTTGTGTGTATAGCTGACAGCATCAGTACAGTATGTTGCACCTTATCACTATATCTCAAAGATCTCTTCACCCTGACAGAATGGAGGGGTTTCTCCCATATACCCATTTATATAAATATCCGAATTCAAACTGGTTCTTCTTCTCTGCCATAAGATGCATTACTCATATATATTCCCCCTCAGAACAACTGTCCATAAGTAGATCTCTCTTCAGTCTTCCCAATACAGACTTGCTTAAAGAGCCTCGTCCTTTAATCTTACTAGATACTGGCTTTCATCTCTCACTACCGCCTTCAGGCTATGCAGTCTAGACCAGTGCCTCTCAACCTTTCCAGACTACTGTACCCCTTTTAGGAGTCTGATTGGTCTTTCATAACCCCAATTTTCACCTCTCTTAAAAACTACTTGCTTTCAAAATCAGACGTAAAAATACAAAAGTGTCACAGAACACTGTTACTGAAAAATTGCTGACTTTCTCTTTTTTACCATACAATT